GGAAAGATTGAAGGCAATAGGAGAAGAGGGTGACAGAGGATGAGATGGTTAGAGAGCATCACCTACTCAATAGACATGCGTTTGAGCAATCTCTGGGAAATCGTGAAGGACAGGGGGGCCTGATGTGTTGCAGTCCATGGAGCTGCAAAGAGCTGAACATGACTCAGTGATTAAACAGCCACAGCTACTTGCACTCCCAATGTTTCCCTCTCCATCCAATTCACCTCAATTAAATAAGTGAAAGCTGTGATGCTATTGCATATCAAAGCTACTGCCATCTCTCTTGTCACCAGCAAAGGACTCTACTGATTTCACAGAGCTAGGAAACACAGCCCCAAAATCCATCCTGAGGACTTGCTTTCTAGAACCACTTGTAAAACCAGTTGTGTTAGCTCTGTTTCTCTAGAAAACAGGATTTGAAGGCAGAGATGAAATCTGATTGAGAAGGCAGTAAGAGTGAGTGAAAAGGGAAATGAAGAGGGCTAGGAAGAGAAGCAGTGCAAGATGGTATGTTATCTTGCAGGTAACTGCTTCACCACCCTTTGCAAAGAGTCCTGGCAGGTGCTTCAGGAAGTATGTCTGCTCAGCCATGTGGGATGTCTCCAGACAGACTGTGTTAGAAAATCATGACTCAGAACAGTCCATAGGAGGCAGGAAGGAAAGATAATTTATTTGCCCAGCTCCCTCTCATCTCCTCTTTCTATTGGTCAAATGTCCCTCGTGCGGGCGGCATGCTCAGTCGCTTCGGTTCTTTCCGACTCTTTGCGACTGCATGGACTATAGCCCCAGGCTACTCTGTCCATGGGGATCCTCCAGGTAAGAACACTGGAGTGGGTTGCAATTTCCTTCTCCAGGGGAATCTTCCCAACCAAGGGATCGAACTGTGTCTCTTATGTCTCCTGCATTGGGAGGCAGGTTCTTTACCACTAGCGCCATCTGGGAAGCCCCAAAATGTTCCCTAGAGGGAACTAATTCCCTTAGATTCCCCATGGAGGGCTGTTTAAAAGCCACATCCTGCAGTGTGACATTTCATCTGATGCAGAAGTAGTAGAAGGGTCAGAGACGCCAGACACACGGTCAGCCAGCCTGGCTGTAAGGCAGCAGCCAAGAAGGACCCGACTGGGCAAGCGACTGTCGGTCCCAGATGGCTGAACTGCACAGATCCGGCTGGCTGTGAAGGGAGCTCTGGAGGCAGGAAAAAAGGCAACATCTAGCAGTGTGATTAGGCTCATAAGATGCATCTCAAACATCCATCAAGAGGCTACTAATATCAACAGATGGTGGAGCTAGACGTATCATCCTCAGGTTAGGATTTTGTCTTATTTATCTTTGAGACCCTAGCAACTGGCACTTGAATAAGAAGATACCATTTGAACTCAGTTTGTATGGCTCCAAACCTTCTTACTACACGTCTCTGCTATGCCCGTTGTTATGCTGGTGACCAAATATGACCATGCTCTCAGAGGTTGAGCAACTGGTCATCAGGTGTCCCTGTTCAAGTTGCAAGTTGACCTTGCCTCACTGTGTGCATATGTGGCTATGTCACTCTTGCTAATCACCTGAGCCCTGGCTGCCAAAGGGGAAAAGGAGGTGATAAATTAGGCATTTGGGATTAACATATATATAGTACTATATAAGGGCTTCCTTGGTAGCTCAGCTAGTAAAGAATCTGCCTGCAATGCAGGAGAGCCTGGTTTGATTCCTGGGTCAGAAAGATCCCCTGGAGCAGGGATAACCTACCCACTCCAGTATTCTTAGGTTTCCTTGATGGCTCAGACAGTAAAGAATCCTCCTGCAATCGATCCCTAGGTTGGGAAGATCCCCTGGAGGAGGGGATGGCAACCCACTCCAATATTCTTACCTGTAAAATTCCATGGACAGAGGAGGCTGGTGGGCTACAGTCCACGGGGTTGCAAAGAGTCAGACACGACTGAGTGACTAAACATAGCACAGTACTATATATAAAAAAGATAACCAACAAGGACCTACTGTATAGCATAAGGAACTATACTCAATATGTTGTAACAATCTAAAAGGCAAAAGAATCTGAGAAAGAATACATATATTATAAATACAAGAATATATATTATATATAGCAGAATATATATATATATATCTGAATCACTTTTATATACACCTGAAACTAACACAATATTGTAAATCAACTGTACTTCAATTAAAAAATTAAAAACAAACAAAAAAAACCCCTAAAGCCCATAATCTGTCTGGCCTGGGTTCACTTGAGTGTTATATAACACAAAATATACAAAGAAATGGAGAACAGAGTTGACTGGTCCACACAATGAGTACAATTCTTAGACACAAAAGGGTTCTGAACAAAAGGGCCCTTCTGACTTCCAGTCCTTTCAGTGGGACAGTGCAGCTCACATCAGAAGCTGTCTTACCACCTCTTTGGAAAATTAACCAAATCTCATAGCTGTCTTCTTAGACCATTTCACTTGACTCCCCACTGCACCCCATCCCCTGGGATGGAGGATGGATAGTTGGAATACTGGAGATGAAAAACAAAAGCGTTTCCTTCAACTGTGAGGGAGTCCTGAGGTGCCTAGGCTAGGAAGATGATCGGTGACCCTTCTCTGGTCCCTAGGATCTTGATCCGGGTAAAGCAGGATCCAGGCCCTGGGTTGGCAGAGACCTTGTCGTTGTTTGGATTTGGCCTGAGTGGGGACACTGGAAATTGATGCCAAGGACGCTTACACTTGCCAGACACTTTGTGATGTTCACTAACGGGTCTGATCACTTGAGCTTAGGGAGCTCCCTTTTCTCCTGAGGGCTTGTGAGGCCATATTCTCTGCTCTACATACAGATCTACATCCTGAAACCCTAGTCTCCTGGACTTGAAACCCCGGGGGAAGCAAGGAGAAAGAGACGGATCTGAGACACGAGTGATAAAAAGGAGGAAGGCTGTTTGAGGTGAGAATACAGCTCATTCCTCTGAGGCATGTTTTCTCCTAATCAGGAAATGAAAACCGAGGCAATTATGTATTGAGAGGATAACTCTCTTTCCATTCCCTATTTTTTCCAGGTGTGCTTATACTTGAATTACTCAGATAATTTCCTGAATGTTATTACTAGGTCCATTTCCTCTGTCTATCCGGACCTAAGTTAGTCTCACTGTGGAATCTATGAAGTTCTGGGCCTGGGCTCTGTCGGTGATGCTGCAGGATGGGTCAGGAATCCAGGTCTCTACCTCAGCTTTTTTTCTGAGCCAGGAGATACACTCCAGCACCCACCCCTCATCACACCCTCCTCTGAAAGCGAAGTTCCAGTTCTACATGAGCAGCTAACCCGGAGCATCCAGAAACAGATCGGTCATCAGTGGTCTTTGACGATTGCATTTTTTTTCCTCTTCATTACAAAAAAAAATTATCTATTTTAATTGAAGGATAATTGCTTTACAGTGTTGTGTTGGATTCTGCCTTAAGTCAACATGAATCAGCCACAAGTATACATATCCCCTCCCCTTGAACCTGCTTTCCACCTCCCACCCCATCCCACCCCTCTAGGTTGTCACAGACCCGGTTTGAGTTCCCCGAGTCATAGAGTAAATTCACACTGCCTATCTATTTTACATAAGGTAGTGTATATGTTTCCATGCTACTCTCTCCATTTCCCTCCCCACCCATAAGTCTATTCTCTATGCCTGCGGATGACTACACTTTTAATTCGAGGTTAACCTAGCAGCTTCCCTGGTGGCTCAGACGGTAAAGCATCTGCTTGCAATGTGGGAGACCTGGGTTCAATCCCTGGGTCGGGAAGATCCCCTGGAGAAGGAAATGGCAACCCAATCCAGTACTCTTGCCTGGAGAATCCCATGGACACGGGAGCCTGGTGTGCTGCAGTCCATAGAGTCGGACTGAGCGACTTCACTCACTTTAACCTAGCATTGCTGTCACAGCTGCTTTAACCCCTCAAGGCTGGCAGGCCAGCCTGGAGTTTAAAGGGAAAGGCTATTACAGCCAGGCTCCTAAGTCTCCATAAGAGAGAAGTCAGAGGATCACAGAATCCTAGAGCCGCAACAGACCTTGGAGAGTGAGCAATCTGCTCTTCTCTTTCCAGAAAGAGGCCAAGGTGCAGAACAGGCGAATGGCTTGTCCTTGGTCACACAGCTCAGCCAAGTGATAAACCTGGCCTTAGGGCTAGCCCTCAGGTCAGGAATATGGTGCTTTTCCCCTCTCACCTTGCTCTTCTCTTGAAAAAGAAGATGTCTTTAAGACAAAGGTCTTTCCCTGGAGAGTGTGGGAGGGCCTCCACTTCACCCTGGCTCTGAAGCATCTCTCCCTCCTCTCCTAACTCAGTAGCTGTGACAGGAGTGCGAACCTTGATGACCTCTCTGTTGCACATCAACTTGGGTGTAAAAGGACTTTATTAGTCTCACTGGACTCATGTCTCACAAGGACTGATGCTGAAGCTGAAGCTCCAATACTCTGACCACCTGATGTGAAGAGCTGACTCATTGGAAAAGGCCCTGATGCTGGGAAAGATTGAAGGCAGGAGGAGAAGGGGACGCCAGAGGATGAGATGGTTGGATGGCATCACCACCTCAATGGACATGGAGTTTGAGTAGACTCCTGGAGTTGGTGATGGACAGGGAGGCCTGGCGTGCTGCAGTCCATGGGGTCACAGAGAGTCGGACACGACTGAGCGACTGAACAACAACGTCAGAGGGTCTCTGGCTGTGTCACCTAGTGAGTTTTGGGGAACTTGTAATATATATATATATATGAGCATTGCTCCATCACGTGAACAGCCCTGCCTGAACCACCATCACTGCCTGCTAGCGGCAGGTGAGTGTGTCCGGTGTTCCTCAGGGAATGTCTCACCACAAGCCCTCGTCTCCCTTGGAGTCACTTCTTGGGTGGCTTTACTCTCAGGGTCACTCCTTGGGTGACCTGACTTCTCCTCTGCTTCCCACAGTGGCAACCCCCGCAGTACCACGACCCTTGGGGAAAGTCGGGCCCTGAGTCCCAGGGACCTACGCTTCCGCCCCCGCGGGGGTCCCAGGGCACGACCGCGATCGCCTTTCGCGCGGCCGCCCGGGGCCCCCTCCTCCCCTTCGCTCCCGCCCAGGAACCTGGGGAGCCAATCAGAGCGCGCCGGAGCCCCGGGCTGTGAGAGTCCCGCGCTCGGGCCCCGCCCCTCTTTGTTGCGGCGGCCAATGGACGCAGTCAGAACATCGGCGGCTGCCCGGGTGACTCGGTTATCTGTCACAGAATAACATTCGAGAATGGGACATGGAGTGAGACGACGGCCGCAGCACCCCCAAGCCCAGGCCCAGAAGCAGCCCCCGCCTTCCCCGCCGCCCGGAGAGGCTCCGCAGCCATGAGGCCGACTGTCCGGAGGTAAGGTTCCGGAGCTGCGGGGCGCCCTTTCCCGCGCCCCGCCTGCAGCCAGTCCACACCCCGCCCCCCCGCCCGGGGTGCCCGGCGCTGGAACTCGGCGAAGGAGGCGGGTGGAGCCACTGCCCCTGGAGCCGGGGGCCGGGGGCCGCCCCTCGCGCGCCTGGCTTCGGGAGGCTTCCTGGAAGAAACGCGGCGGTCTTTGCAAGCCGAGGCTACCGCTTGCGCCCTCGCGGCAGCCCCGGGCGCTCACGTGCCGGCACGTTCTGGCTCGGCTCTCGGCCACATCTGGCGACCCAGGAACGTGCGGAGCCTTGCGGGGACTCCCGGTTCCTTCCCGCGGCGTGTCTTTATTCTTCTCCCTTCCCCGTCCACTCCGCAGCCTCCACGCTCCTTGTATTTCCCTCCCGTGGTTTAGGTGGGTGTGAAGCTTTGTGGCAATATCCAAGTCGCCTTGCTAGGTAATTGCAGGGCTGGAAGCTGGTGTGCAATTCCCTGGTTGGGGGTGGGCTCTGTCCGCGCGCAGTGCGGAGCGGACAGTGAAGTGGGGACCCAGCAAAGCCCCACTGCCTTGGCCACGGCCCCCTCCGTGGTCCCTCTGGATATCCACTTACCCGTGGTGCATGTTGTCTCACTGATTTCAGGCACGGCCAGTAAGCAGAGCTCCGGCCGCCGCTCCCCCTTGGTGCGTCCTGCCGCAGCGAGAGGCATGGAGAAGGCCACCCCCGCCGGACGCTGATCCCCGCGCTGCGCCCGCGAGCACGCGCCCCCTGCGCAGCCCTCCGCGTCCCCTGCCCCGGCCCCACCATGACCGGCTCCGCGGCCGACACTCACCGCCGCCCCCACCCCAAAGGCGCCAAAGGCACCCGGTCCCGGAGCAGCCACGCGCGGCCCGTGAGCCTCACTACCAGCGGGGGCTCGGAGGAGGAGGACAAAGACGGCGGGGTGCTGTTTCACGTTAACAAGAGCGGCTTCCCCATTGACAGCCACACCTGGGAGCGCATGTGGCTGCACGTGGCCAAAGTGCATCCCAAGGGGGGAGAGATGGTGGGTGCCATCAGGAACGCCACCTTCTTGGCAAAGGTTAGTAGATCCGAAGGAGGGGGTGGGCTGGGCAGGGATGGGACCGTTTTACCTGCACGTAGCGAATAGAGGCAATTTTCATTTTCCTGGTCCTGCTGCAAACTCCCTTCCCCGCCTAATTCTTCCCGTCAGCTCCCACCCCCTTTGCTTAATGGAGATGTTTGTCTTGGACGTCTTAGCAATGGGAGAGAGAAAGGAAGAGGGCTTACTGTCCTGGGACTGTGTGGTCGACTTGTGCCAAGGTTTCTTTGAATCTGGAGCCAAATTCTGTTATTTATTTACCCTGTGTACATCCTCCTTCAGCGAAAACTGAAGCCCCCAGATGGCACCAGTGATGCCAAGAATGCATAGACTCCCTCTCACCGTCTTTGGAGTTTCTTGGTCCTCCTCTGTGGTCCCCTCGAAAATGATTTATTAGACTGTGAATGAATTTACAACCAACCAGTCAGACTTCTCATCGTGAATCATTTCTAGACTTTTTGCCAGTTTTTTTTTTTTTAAATGACAACGACTTTCACCTCTGAAACTCGCAAAACGGTCAACCCTCTCTTTTCCCAGCTTATCTGGGCTCTGAGAAAAGAGAAAAAAGTTTTAACTGTGACTTAAAAGGGACTTTCCAGTCCACAGGATGAATTAATCTCACAGGATAGAGAAAGAGACTCAGGAATGAAACTCTTTCTACCTTGGAGAGAAGCCAGTGAGCCAGCTGAGTTTGGCCAAGGATAATGTTGTTAAAATGGAGGGACATGTGCAGGGGTCTCTGTGTGAAACATCAGAATGCAAACTGGAGGAGGAATGCTCCAGAGCCTGGGGGCTGCAGCATGGCAGATGGTTTCCCGTGCACCCTGGGGACTCTGGTATGGCTGAGAAGATTCCTGGGCAGGTCTAGGAATGCCAGACCTGAGACCTGGAAAGCCATCTGGTCAAGTCCCCAACCTGGAGCATCTGGTGACCTGAGCCTCTGAGCCTGCAGGCCAGAAAGCTGTGTGTGCCCTTGGGGAACGTAGCAGAGCCTGTAAGCTTCCTGTGGCAGTTGGTTACAGTGTTTTATTATCCTGCTGGTCAAGGAGATCTTTCATTTTGCCCAAAGAGAATCTTGCCTGCTTTCGAGTCAGCTGTAATTATTGCTGAGTCCTTCTGGAGGACTCAGAGCCTGAAAACAATTCTGGTACCGATGTACAGTTCTGACTTCAGAGTTGGTCCTTACTTAAGTGAGGCTTTCTCATTTAGCATCCTTAGCACCCACCCTGCTTCTAACTGTGACTTCATCCTTCTCCCGACATTGTGGATGGGGACCCCCTTTCTCTCTAGGAATCAGAAAATGTCAGCCTTGGTAGAGATTCATCCCTGCCTCTCAGAAAAAACCCTCCCTTTTTCTGAAGGCCTCCTGGGAATGGAGGGCTCGCTACCGCAAAGGGCAGCTTCCAGGCCTGGCCAGATTTTGCTTACTGGGGAGCTCTTCTTAAACTGAACAGAAATCCGTCCTCACCCCCATCCCCACCCCCGGGTCTGTGTCATCGACAGTTCTTCTGCTCAGGAAGCCTAGGGCAGCACACCTGGACGCCTGTGCTGCTCACAGCTCCCTTGAGCGTTGGGAGATGGTTCTCTTGGAGTGAGGGAAGGACTTGGCGTAAAAAATCAAGCTACTGAATCCTAGTCCTGGTTGTGCTACCTCTAGCTTCGTGACCTAGATCACTCATTTAAAAATCTCCCGCCTTCATTTTCTCATCTATAAGATGGGAGTCGATCAGGTAGGATGTAAAGTTCTTTCCAACTCTCAAATCCTGTGGGGTTATGACCCGTTCGTTTTCGGGTTCCTGGTGATCTGTGCGACACCAGAGGGGCACTGGACTATTCTGCATCTTCCTTTAATCGTCTTTGTCCACAGGTAGTTCTTCACCTTTTGTTTTAAAGTATCATAGTTCCCAGATCAACTCACTTTGCTTGTCCTCTTTCTAGGACAGTTGCTACTTTGTCATGAGTCAGTCCCGGAAAGCAAGCACAATATGAAACACAATATTCTGAATGTTGTCTGAGCAGCTTAGAACATACACCACTACTTCCGGAGACCTGTACTTTGATACTTCCATTATTGTGGCTGAATTTTGGGTTCTTAAAAAAGAGTGTTCTTTCTTTTCTTCTTTTTTTTTTTAATATAGTGGCCTTATCATATTGTACTTTCACAGTAATGCTAAGGTCACATGAGAGCTTCTGCCAAGCCAGGACAACCCTAGCCTGAACGTGGGCGTCGGCTTTTTGAGCCTAAATAAAGAACTTCACTTTTCTCTCCTACGTTGTATCATGATGCTTGCTTCTCCATCCTCAGCCCCACTGCAGCATCCCTTCTCTCCTGGTTCTGACATCCCCCAAACTCTGACCCTGCACAGGCCCTGGGATGGGAGCAGCTCTTTTCTTTTTAAAAAATTTCTATTGGCATATAGTTGCTTGACAGTGTTGGGTTGTAAATCAGCTACATGTATACATATATCCCCTTTTCAGATTTCCTTCCAATTTAGGTCACCACAGAGCATTGAGTGGAGGGAATAGCTTCGAAAACTCCCGCTTCCAGGAACCTCTGATTCGAAGGCTATACCTGCTCTCAGCTCAGCAGAGTTTTTCCTCTGGGGCCAAGTCCTTTTCTCTTTTAATCAAATCAATGTCTTGCTGAGGAATTTGTACAGAAGCAGTGGGTAGGGGGAGTGGTGGTAGAAAAGTTGAAGAGTTTCAGAGAGATTAACCTTTTGGTGGGCTTCCCAGTTGGCTCAGCAGTAAATAACCCGCCTGCCAATGCAGGAGATGTGGGTTCGATCCCTGAGTTGGGAAGATCCCCTGGGGAAGGAAATGGCAACCCACTCCAGTATTCTTGCCTGGGAAATCCCATGACAGAGGAGCCTGGCAGGCTACAGTCCACGGGGTTGCAAAAGAGTCAGACACAACTTAGTGACTAAACAACAACAACAAACCATTTTTTTTTGACAATTGAATATGGATTAAGAAACAAAAGAAGTGACCAGAGTAAAGTATCAAAGACCTAAAAGGACTGAATGACACTTCCTTTGACACAGGCATTCTGTTAGTAAGTTCTGTCCAGAGATCCAGGTGCCCCCACTGGGGAAGGGGGGACAGATGTCACCTGCTCTGCGATCCTCCTTCTAAATGGGTGACCTCAGGCCTCTGCCCTACTGGTTACCGGGTCTGAAGTTCCCACTGACTAGGTGAAAGCCAGGGTTTTTTAGGGATGGTGCAAGAAAGCAGCGCGAATTAGTTGGCTGATAATCAAGGTTGGGAAGGAGAGGCAGAGAAGATGGCTGGCTCAGAAAAAAACAGCTGAGCCAACTAGGAGACAGCGCCTCCTGCTTCCTGACTGCCTGGGGCTCGACTCTCCTGGGGCAGACGAGCAGATGGATTCCGCGGGAAGCATCAAGCCGTTTCTTGCAGACGCCACGTTTTTGTAACTCATCCTCACATTGATCCCAAATTGGGACATAATTCACATTTAGTGGACTCCGCTTGGCCTGAGTGAAGAAGTGTGAGGGCTGTGGAGCCAGGCTTTTCTGCAGTCAGGGCTCCACTCCTGCCGCCTGCTGGCACACACGGGCAGCTCACTTTCTCCCCTGTCCGTTCCAAACCATCAGTCCCCACTTCCTGCTCAGCCTGAGGATGTGACCCCTGACCTTTGTACCAGGTTACCATCAGCAGATTTCTGGGGCCCCGCCTGGGCTCAGGAGTGAAGTTCCGTGCTCCCCTCCAGCTTGCCAGAGAAGATTCTTCTGCCTGGAACCTGCACAGTGTACGGTACATTTCCAGGGCAGCGATGGCAAAAGGCTGTGCTTTCTTGTCAAAGACTCCTGGTGCCCGGGGCTCTTGCTGCCTCCCTGGCCCCTTTCCTGGCTGCCCCTTCTCTCCACATGGTGATGTATGGGGATGACACGCACAGTGGTGTCTGTCCACATCCTTGCTCCTTGCATGCTTCTGACGGGTCATCATGTTTGGCAAGGATGGAGTGAGACGGCCTGTCCGCCAAAGCTGGCCTGTGGTCTGTTTCCCTTTTCTTCTTGAACAACTGTCTTCCTGTTCACTCCCCTTCCCCCACGCCCTGACCATAGGCAGGTACAGTGCCTGTGGTGGTTAGTAGCTCGTGGAAGAGGTAGTTTAGATTTGTGCCCTCTAGATTCAGCCTTCTTCAGCTGGGATGTGGCTTGAGAAAGTTGGATGCAGTTGGCAGGAGGGACTTGATAGGGACAGAAGAAATCTACGTTGAAGTCTTGGGTGAATCGGGGCAGGAAAACGACAGGAGAGACTCTCAGGACCCCAGTCAGGGAGGAGGAGAAAAAGGAGTGTTCCCTGGGCTTTCCATGAAAAGGCTATACCCGTTAATTTTCCCATCATGCCGTAGGAGAGCATCCTACCAGGACTGGGTATCCACACTTCAGGATATCTCTCTTTATTGGAGAGGCAAAAAATGATACTCTGCAGTGGCTTTAATTTGCAGTTCTTAAGTTGTGCACTGGAACATTTAAAAAAATATTTATTCAGTCTTTGCATTCCTTCTTTTGTGAACTGTCTTCATGGTCATTTAAAAAGTTGTGGGAAAACATATAATTTACCATTTTAAATGTATAGTTCAT